TAATAGATGGGAAATTAAAAGAGTGACTACCAAACTCATTCCCATGCACCAAGAGTAGTCTAGTTAATAACAGTTGATTGTATTCTTAATATCAACTGATGTATATATACAAAATGTTTTCTTAGATGTTAATTTCCTGTGTATTTTCTTTCATATATTTTCATAATATTGAGTGAACAAGTATTAAATTAAAGTTAAGTGGATGAAATCAGTTAAAATCTAAAAAAAAAAAATGTTTTCTGAGCTTCTGTGATAATGCAAGACCACCCCTTAAAAACCCAACTGCCCTATAGAGCATTTTAGACAATCCCATCAGAGACTTGTAGATTATTTTATAGCAGGGGTTTATAGAGGTTCATACTTCTAGCAAGGATCAAGTAGTTTCTTCTGTGATTTCCACAATTCTTATTACTTACAGGCACTGAAGCAAGTTAAAATATACATAGTTTTATTTATGAGAATATGGGCACTGTAGCTATGTTGAAATTGTGGAGTAAAACGTGTTCTACAGTGTGTTAGGAGAAACCAAAATCTGTCACGGTACTAAGTAATTAACACTTTCACTACAGGTCAACTTGGCTGTCACTCTGAATAATTGAAAATCCAAAAGTTTTCTGAAGTAATTATCATTGCTTAAAGCGGGGGAGTCGTTACCTGCACATGCGTCAGATGGCCATAGCGTGTCATTGTTTACAAACAAGCGTCTACCCATGAGCCTTTTCATTTTTAGCGTGTTGTTATCGTCGGTTGGGATTCAATTCCCGCGCATGCGCAGCTGGCGACCCTCCCGCTTTAACTTGTATAATCCTCCAAATAAATGATGGTGGGTTGTTGATTTCAGACTTACAAAAATCCCTCCAACAACAATCCTAAACAATAGTGGCCCACTGCATGAACCTTGTGCCCTTACTTTGTTGATAAAGGATGCACAGAAGAATATAAAAATGGTGTGCCAAAAAAAAAATGAATGAGGTTTAAAACTTTTACAAAGTAATAATGAACAGAGTAAAAGTGAACAATGTACAAACTATTCATGGTATGTGCATGCCTCCATGTAAGGTAATGAACTCTACCAATAAATCCACATTCACTAGATGTCATTGATACTAGAAATAGAATTACTATTAAATTAATATAAGATGTGCAAGGACACTGGAACATACAGACTGTCAGCTTAAGAGGGCTCATTCATTGATGGAAACAATTCACATATGGGAACAGAATTTCATAAATAAATATTTCATAGTAATACCAAACGGATTAGGCTAACACTATACAAATATTAACACGCATATAGTGATATTTTTTTCACATAATTTTCATATTAAAAATCATACTTTTCATTTGGTAAGAAATTTTATATACTCTCAATTTAACAAGCTGTTGGTGGGAATTTGTTGAACAAATATGAAGAAAATTTAAAATCTTGGAATTGGTGAAAATTCATTTTCCTGCTAATGAATCTAATTCGCACCATTGAATGGAGAATTTGAAGATTTTCATCCTTTTGTGTGAATAATACAATATAATATCACTCTACTGTACCTACTATATAATGATTAATATTTTATTTTTCTTGCAATACAATTACTGACTTTTACAATCATAAATAATTCGTCAACATATCGTTTTCTACCTTTTTTCTCCATAACTTATATCTAAGCAGAGCGCCCTCTATTGATAAATCATTAATACATTTTAAATTGCTATTTTATGTTACCACAATGGTTATTATATACTTTACCAATAATTCTTTTTTTACATAATTGACTAGTTTTATTTAATAAAATACGTAAAATTTTATATTTCATAAAAATTTCATGATACATGTAATACCAAAGAAATAACATGTAGGCTAACACTATTTAATATTAACACGCATATTATAGTGATGTATTTTTTTATATTCATAACAATCAAATTTTTCATATCAATTAGAAATATCTTTATTCAACATGCTGTTGACCAAAAGATGAGAATTTAAAGTTATTTTCTTGCCAGTGAAGTGATGAGAATTTGGATTCTCCCCATTGAGCGTTGACAATATAAAAACTGATATTGGTGAGAATAATATCTAGTCTTGCTGAAATACCAAAACCTGTAGGCTTCTTACTCTTCTTTTATTTACTTCCCAGAGACTAAAACTGTTATTACTCATTATCATACTTCTTGAAGCATGAAAAAAAATGTAGTTTTGAGAAAACAATTTTTGTTAGGTTAAAAAAATAAATTTTACTTCAGTTGAAAACCTTATTTCTATAAACTAGCCTAGAATAACAAAATGTATATTGGTATAAAATACTCTATATCAAAGAAATCAATAAAAAAACTGTTTTCAAATTATCATATTGACTTGAAGCAACAAAAGTAACACAAACCCTTATGTAAATCATAAATGACATATTTAAATGAAGTACCGGTATGCACAAAATCCAATTTTTTATTAATTTTTTATTAGAGATGCATTCTTTTTAAGAACTGCGTCATACAGAACTAATTAAATCTATAATCAAAAGCTGAAGAGTCAGCCAGACATTATTTCCACACATCTTTCAAATTAAATCTCTTCAACAGATAATGACACAGACTCTCTGAATACCTCGACAAGTAAGAGGAATACAATAAAGTAAGCCACTCTCAGTTTGAATCTACTTTCAACTGAAAGTGTGCTTTCAGTAAATCTTACGAACATAACTCGAAAGGTCACACATAGTAATTACGGCAAGGGAGATGGGAAGTCGGGGTGTTAATAAATATATCAATGGAAAATTTCTGAGTTTAATACATTTAATTTACCTCTCCCCCAAAACATATGCAAAATCATTTTAACACAACAAATCTCAGGTACAATAGCCTGTCGGCTGAGATAGCTCCGCTGTTAGCAATGCACATTTCAATTAAAGAACTGAAGATATTATTAGAAAATGAAGATATGTATAGTATCAAAGCAATCAGACATGCTGTTTTCAACAAGAATTCGAAAATATCACTTTTTACCAAAAATGACAAAAATATTCATTTAGGAAAAGACAAAATATATTCATTAAAATTAGAGAATTGAGGATATCATCATGAAATAAACAAATCTGCGCGAAGTCTACCTATAGTACATATATATATATATATAGTATCAAAGCAATCAGACTCGCGATTTTCAACAAGAAGTCGAAAATATTACTTTTTACCAAAAAAATACAAGCAGAAAATGCCAGGATGTATGACCTATACGCCCAAGTAGGATATTAAACAAAGTCATCAATCATAAACGAATGAAGATGTCATTCAATTGTCAACATTAATATCCAACCTATCAATACAAAGTAGGTCAAGCTATTCTCAATTAATGTTCATTTACCCATATCTAATTTGCTCTTCCGGCATCTACTGGATTCTTTCCTCTTTCTAATCCACATTATATCTGCCTTATTGACTTCAAATTGTTTGCAGGAAGAAGAAAGTAAAAGAGATACAAATTGGTTGCCTAGCTACAGTGAAATCTGAATCGCAAACGATTGATTGAAATTTACCCTCATAAAAGACATAAGCAGTGCCCTCAACAGGTGACAAAGTGAAATGTTAGCCTTTATCTACAGGTAATTATTTTCTTATTCAAATTTGTACATGATTCAATATACTAAATGACCATGACCCACTTGGGACTTTTTATCTAAATCTATGACTGGAGTTTTTTACTT